CCTGTCTCTGACCTGTCCCTGTCTCTGACCTGTCTCTGACCTGTCCCTGTCTCTGACCTGTCTCTGACCTGTCCCTGACCTGTCCCTGTCCGTCCCTGTCCCTGTCTCAGGGCGAGGACGAGGCCATGTTCGTGGAGTACAGGAAGCAGCTGAAGATGCTGCTGGACCGTCTGGCCCAGGTGTCTCCAGAGCTGCTGCTGGAGGCGGTCCMCAGGGTCTTCAGTCGCTCCATGCAGTGAGTGTTTCCAGTCTGGACCCGGGTCAGAGCRGGACCGGTCCTGATGATGATGATGATGAAGGTGTGTCCTCCTCAGGGCGTGGCAGGCGGCTCCCTTCATGGASGTGGAGGTGTCCATCAGGCTGCTCTACATGCTGGGAGAGGCGCTGCCGGCGTCTCACGGAGCTCACTTCTCCGGAGACACGGCCAAGACCAGCGCCCTGCAGGACATGATGAGGACGGTGAGTCTCCTGTCCCCGGGCCGCTTGGTTCTGCTGGTTCTGGACCGCTTCTACAGACCCACGTCTCTTTCCTCCTCAGCTGGTGACCTGCGGCGTCAGCAGCTACCAGCACAGCTCCGTCAGTCTGGAGTTCTTCGAGACCGTGGTCCGCTACGACAAGTTCTTCATCGTGGAGCCTCAGCACATCCCCGGGGTTCTGGTGAGTCGGACCCGCCTGCTTCCTGTCCTCTGCAGGTCCCTGGCTGACCCCTGACCTTTGACCCCTGACCTGTGACCTGTGTCTGCTGGCAGATGGCCTTCCTGGACCACAGAGGACTGAGACACAACAGCCCCAAGGTCCGGAGCCGGGTGGCCTACCTGTTCTCCAGGTTCATCAAGACCCTGCAGTGAGTCAGCTCCTGTGGTTCTGACCCAGATCCTCCTGTGGTCCTGACCCAGATCCTCCTGTGGTTCTGACCCAGATCCTCCTGTGGTCCTGACCCAGATCCTCCTGTGGTCCTGACCCAGATCCTCCTGTGGTTCTGACCCAGATCCTCCTGTGGTTCTGACCCAGATCCTCCTGTGGTTCTGACCCGACATGTTTGTGTTACAGTAAACACATGACGGCCTTCATCGAGGACATCCTGACCAGGATCCAGGACCTGCTGGAGCTCAGTCCTCCTGTAAGAACCCTTCTGGCCCTGTGGTCCTRGCTGCTRTTCCTGCTCCTCACTTCCTGTCATCCTGGCCCCTCCCTCCTCACTTCCTGTCATCCTGGCCCCTCCCTCCTCACTTCCTGTCATCCTGGCCCCTCCCTCCTCACTTCCTGTCATCCTGGCCCCTCCCTCCTCACTTCCTGTCATCCTGGCCCCTCCCTCCTCACTTCCTGTCATCCTGGCCCCTCCCTCCTCACTTCCTGTGTCTCTGCAGGACAACGGGCTCCCGGCGCTGCTGACCAGCGATGACCAGCTGTTCATGTTCGAGGCGGCGGGRGTGCTGATCGTGAGCGGGGACAGTCCTGTGGACAGGAAGCAGACTCTGATGAGGAGCCTGCTGACGCCGCTGATGGACGCCTTCCACCTGCTGCTGGCCAAGCTGCTGCAGGAGACGGAGGCGGAGCCTCAGGCCGCCCTCGCCGACTGTCTGAGCCACGCCGTGGGCTTCGCCAGGTCAGACTGCTCAGCTGTCACATGTCACCTGAGAACCTGAGCAGAACCTGGTCTCTAACCTTCTGGTTCTGGTTCTGGTTCTGCAGCCGGACCAGCAAGGCCTTCAGCAACAAGCAGACGGTGAAGCAGTGCGGCTGCACCGAGGTCTACAGGGACTGTCTGCAGAGCTTCCTGCCTGCACTGAGCTGCCCGGTGCAGCGGGGGGCGCTGCGCAGCGCCGTACGCTCCTTCCTGCACCGCATGATCATCTGCCTGGAGGAGGAGGTGCTGCCCTTCATCCCCCCCGCCTCCGAGCACATGCTGAAGGACTGTGAGGCCCGGGACCTGCAGGAGTTCATCCCACTCATCAGCCAGATCACCGCCAAGTTCAAGGTAGCTGACCCCGCCCCTTCTCCTGAGCTGACCCCGCCCCNGAGTTCATCCCACTCATCAGCCAGATCACCGCCAAGTAGCCCAGAGCTGACCCCGCCCCTTCTCCTGAGCTGACCCCGCCCCCGAGCCCAGAGCTGACCCACCTCCTCACTAACAGCTCCTCCTGTCTCCTCCTCTGTCGCAGCGCCAGGTGTCTCCCTTCCTGCAGCAGATCTTCATGCCTCTGGTCCTGGCCATCTTTGAGGTTCTGGCCCGGCCCGCGGAGGACAACGACCAGACGGCGGCGCTGGAGAAGCAGCTGCTGAGGAGGAGCTACTTCAGCTTCATCCAGGCCGTGGCAGGCAGCGGCATGAACGAGGTTCTGGCCAACCAGGGTGAGCAGAACCAAGCAGAACCTCACACAGACCCGGACCTCAAACTCAGCCGGTGCCGACCCGACTCACCTGTCCTCTGGTTCTGTTTGCAGGAGCGGAGAACATGGAGCGGGTTCTGTTCACCATCATCCAGGGGGCCGTGGACTTCCCGGACCCCCTGGCCCAGAAGACCTGCTTCATCATCCTGTCCAAGCTGGTGGAGCTGTGGGGTGAGTCCCAGAACCAGAACCAGAARCGTTTAGTCCCTTCTGTCAGGCTGAACTGGTTCTGGTTCTGATCCGACCCGCAGGAGGTAAAGACGGCCTGGTGGGCTTCCCTGACTTCATCTACAAACACATCGTCCCGGCCTGCTTCCTGGCGCCGCTCAAACCCACCTTTGACCTCTGCGACGCCCAGACGGTTCTGGTGAGGTTCTGGATCAGAGCGGTTCTGAAACATTGGGCCTTTGAGTTTGTTCAGAACCTCTAACTGGACTCTTTGTTCCACAGACGCTGTCAGAGTGTGCCCTGACCCTGAAGATGATCCACCTGAAGCAGGTAAGACCAGGTTCTGTGGGTCGGGTCAGGACCAGGTTGTGCGGGTCGGGTCAGAACCAGGTTCTGTGGGTCAGAACCAGGTTCTGTGGGTCGGGTCAGGACCAGGTTGTGCGGGTCGGGTCAGAACCAGGTTGTGTTTGTGTTTCAGGGCTCAGAGTTCCTGCAGTTCTTGCAGCAGGACTACCTGCCGTCTCTCCAGGTGACTCCAGAGATCTCCCAGGTAAGCAGCAGGTACACCTGTACAGGTTCTGTGTCGTCTGGATGTTCTGGTTCTGTCTGGTCGTGATGTTCTGGTTCTGTCCAACAGGAACTGTGTCAGGTTCTCCAGCAGCCCGACGTTAAAGTTCTGAAGAACTACATCAAGGTGAGGTTTGTGGACCTTTGACCTGTGACCTGCTGTAGCTCCGCCCTCTCACCTGTCTGCCCCTCCCCCACAGGCCTTCTTTCAGAGAGCAAAGCTGTGAAACTGGACCTCCATCAGAACCCAAACAGGAAGTGGAACCCTCGCTGCTCAGCTGATGGACACACTGACGAGAGGCGGAGCTGTCCGCCTGAAGGTTCTGAAGGTTCTGAAGGAACAGAGAGGTTCTGCAGGTTCTGAAGGAACAGAGAGGTTCTGAGAGCTGGACTGGGATCAGACAGACACGCTGCTGCCTGAGGACTCACAGATGAACTGAAGCAGACGTTTGTCTCCACGGGACTGAAGCTTTGATTTAATGAGGTTCAGATTTGTGTTTGAGGTGGAACTGGTCCTGTCCCACCTGGTTCACCTGCACCATCCAAGTGAAGGTGAACGGTCCGGACGGGCTGTAAATACGACTTAGATGTGAAAAATGTAAATAAAATCTGGAGTTTACTTTGTTAAATTAATCACAGTATGGAAGCCTGTTGATGCCAAAAGGAAGAAAGTGTCAAAACTATTTTTATTTGATCTGATTGTTTGAGCCTGTAGTTAATTTTTGATTTATCCTAAAAACACACATTTACAGTCAGTCAGGTTGTAGTTCAGCTCAACTTGCTGTAAATAAATTTTTGTTATGAAGTAAAAACAGAAACTTATTTCAGTATTTGACTTCTTCCATCAAGTCTGATTTTGTGTGTTTTGAATTGATTTTTACAGTCGAATGTTTTGGTCCAACTCTTGTTAAAGGAACTGATTGTAATCATGGAGGAGAGTTTGTGTCTGCATGGTGTTAGTGACAGACCACACAAACACAACAACACCTCTACCCAGGGGGCTCAGTCCAAGTGGGTTTACCTTCCTACGGTAACAGGAGCTCTGATCCTGGCTCACCAAACCTTGTTTTTGGGATTTGGACTTTTACCAGACTGGTGAGGACCGGCTCAGTTTATGTCCAGACAGAGGAGAGGTGGGCCGTACCTGCATGGTCAAAGAGAAACAACAGCCTGAGGTGAAACTGGTAACTTTATTGATACAATTGTCACGTTCTTTTGAAAAGAAATGTTCAAAACTTCTACAGAAATCACTGAGGATCAAAGAAGAATCAACTTCTGACAGAGTGCCTGTCTGTGATTGGTCACAAACAAAGGGAACATGTCTGATGTCACTTTCCAGGTCCAAAAGCACTTGATGCAGTTCCTCCTGCTTTCTGGTCTCCTCCAGCCTGAAGAGCACTACCAAGTTCACTCACAATACAAGAACTCAGACCGCAGCCGTGAAGTAATCTGAAACATAAAAACACCATCAATCAACATCTCAAATACCTGTTCAACTATTACACACACCAATGACCTGTACAACCATCAATACAAACATAAAAACACCATCAATCAACATCTCAAATACCTGTTCAACTATTACACACACCAATGACCTGTACAACCATCAACACACCAATGACTTGTACAACCATCAATACACCAATGACCTGTACAACCATCAATACACCAATGACCTGTACAACCATCAATACACCAATGATTTGTACAGCCATCAATACACCAATGATTTGTACAACCATCAATAAACCA